TCTCTCTCTTATCCCTCTCTCCTCTCTCTCTCGCTCTCTCTCTCCTTCTCCTCTCTCTCTCTCGCTCTCTCTCTTTCTGTCTCTCCGTGGTCTCATGGGTTGAAAACCATATAAAAGCTATAGTCCGACATTTCGAGTTTTGGATATTTTATTTACAAATAGTTTTTTCTGTGCTAACGGAGTAAACCTGCCCTGAACTCTGACTTCCTTCTACAATGGGCAACACAATAGTAAACTACCCATCAACACACACACACACACACACACACACACACACACACACACACACACACACACACACACACACACACACACACACACCACACACACACACACACACCAAACATATGCACACAACATGCACACACAACATGCACACACACATGCATACTGACACCACACACACACACACACACACATATACATACCACACACACACACACACACACACACACAACACACACACACACACACACCACACACACACACACACACACACACACACACACACCACACACACCACACACACACATACACACACACCACACACACACACACACACACACACACCACACTGATGCTGTAGAAATTGGATTGTGTGTTAGAGGATAACCTCAGTTCACTTCCCTATTTAGCGTAAGATAATTAGCTTTTTCATTAAAGGCTCTTGGTTAAAAGTTCCTCTGTCCATTATGCCCACTTGTCAATCAGATCTTTGGACCTCAGACAGCCCCCTTAGCTTATACATGCAACCTTATACATGCAAACATGCACACACATTCACACACATGCACGCACGCACGCACAAGACACAGCAGAACATGGTGCTTTAGAAAGACGTCTACTCTGGCAAACACTGACGTCTGTAGCTACTGCATATGTGTACATTTCTGTAACACTTCATTTAAGATGCCTGTGTCTTCTTTCTCCGACTTGTTCAGTATCTCTTGGTGCCTGAACCTATTTGACCTCCCTTTCTGTTTGAGGTGTTGGAACACTGAAATGGATGCTCAGATGACTGAAAATCTCATTATGGGACATTAAAACATGGAGGGGCATTTTGATTACTCTGCAACATTGGATTATCTCTCAAATCTATCAATCGTGACACAAGAGGACATTGTGTTATCTTTTGCACAATGCAATCATTTTCCTCCTCTTAAAGTATGGACAGGTTGACATTCAGTACACAATATCAGAATGGCCTCTAGTGTGTGTGTGTGTGTGTGAGTGTGTGTGTGTGTGTGGTCTCAAATGATCAAGGCATACTATATATACATTCCCTCTAACAGGGAACGTTAATGAAAGCAAGGTAAAGAAAAACAATAACAACACAATATATCAAACAATAAAAATGGATCTGCAATGTTGAATAAAATAAAATAAACTCAAAGAACAAGACAAAACCAAAATCTGTTGCTGTGCAGGTAGCACAGTATGGAACAAAACTTAAAAAGTTACTATTTTCCCATGTCTGTAAATTCAAAATACCCATGGTAAAGGTAGTCATGTATATCTTGTGTGTTGTGTTATTATGAGAAAAAAAACTACAAATACGAAAATGTATGCATTCACTATTGAATGTCGCTCTGGCTAAATGAGTAAAATGTCAATGTAAATGTTATTGTCTGGGGTCTGGTTCAGGAGGGGCCAGTTTGATCCACAAATGGTCCCAGAAGGCAGGCTGCAGGGCCGGTTCCTGAGGCCAGTCCAGGTAGGTCCTGGTCTTGACAAGCCTGGCCAGGCGGTGGTGGGCAGACAGCTGGCGAGGAGGGATGTCCTCCAGGAAGACCAGGATAAGGATGTCCCTGTGCTCCACCAGCAGACGCAGGGTGGCCAGTCGTAGCTCAAGGGAGCACCAGTTACTGCGCAGGTAGTGACGACTCTCCACACACAGGGTCTGGCGGCTGCCGTAGAGGCTGTCTGTGATATTGTCCACAATATCCTTCCCCAGTTGGAAGTCCCTGCTATGCAGACAGAGACGCAGGAAGGGAGGCCCCCTCTACTCTAGGCCCGGCAGCAGGTGCTCCATCACCCAGCGCTCGTCTCTACCGCTGTACGACACAAAGGCATCATAGCAGTGGTGCCCCCTGGGGTTGGGCCTCCGCACAGCCTCCTCCAGCCAGCCACGGAGGATGTGGTCCCCAGCCAGCTGATGGAGGACCACCACCAGCATGAAGAGGAGCAGGCCCAGGGAGGTGCAGAGGAACAGGACAAAGCCAACGTCCAGGGAACAGTTGGCTTCTGAGTACCTGGCAAAGTTTTGGATGCCGGTCTCATCTGTGCAGATCAGCCTCATCGGGGTGCCAGATGATGACCTGGATATGCCTCTGACCCTTGGCCCAGGTGTCCAGCCAGGTGTCTTCACAGCTGCAGTGCAGACGAGGTCTGTAGAACAACAGGTAACTTAGGCTGGTCAGGGGCTCTGTGAAGCTCTCTAACATACTGAACTCCTCTTCAACTTTGATTGACAGCTGCCCGAGGGAGTGCAGGTCTCTGCTCAGCTCCTCCTCCAGAGTGAGGATCCTACAGGAGATGAGGTTCAGGCTCTCTAGTCTGGTCAGGTTGCGGAACATGATGGCCAGCCCTGGTTGCAGGATGAGGTCAACTCTCATCAGCTTAAGATACCTCAGCTCCACAAGTGTGTTCAGGTCAGTCATATCTACAAACTCTGCATAGAGCATGGACTGGAAGTCCAAATACTCCAGGGAGGGGAAGTACTTTGCAGCGAAGTGAGATCCACACATGAGGTGCTCCGTCATGGCTGTGAGGCTGACGACGGACTTGAAGAACGGCCTCCAGCAGTCCTGGAAAGACACATTTTGGGCACAGACCAGAAGGGCCAAGCCTGGTTTAGGGGTGCTGTTGCTGCCGATGATGATGTTGATACAATCGAAAAGGAGGTAATGTTCATGTACATCAATTCCGGAGGGAAGACCCCAAATACGTGCGTCAGATTTAAAGTCACACGCTTCTTCCACTGGCTAGCTGGATGGTGAATGTCCCCTAAATCTACATTCTTCAGTGAAGTGAGGTGAATGAACGCAAAAGCTTCAATGTGTACAAGTGGGTTTAGTTCTCTAAGTTGTGCAGGTCAAAAAAACTGTTATTTGTAATCTGAGAGATATTGTTACCCCTTCAATTTAGGAACCTCAATTTACCAAGTCCCTTAAATGTAAAGTCAGAAATATTGGTAATGTCACTGGATTCTAGTTCCAGATGTTCCAGATTTTTCAAGCAACTGGACTGCTTTGAGGTGATACTTGGCATGTGCAGGGTCAATTAAAGTCTCTTCATTTTACATTTACATTTTAGTCATTTAGCAGACGCTCTTATCCAGAGCGACTTACGGTTAGTGAATACATATTTTTTTTATACTGGCCCCCCGTGGGAATCAAACCCACAACCCTGGCGTTGCAAACGCCATGCTCTATCAACTGAGCTACATCCCTGCCGGCCATTCCCTCCCCTACCCTGGACGACGCTGGGCCAATTGTGCGGCGCCCATGAGTCTCCCGGTCGCGGCCGGCGGCGACAGAGCCTGGATTCGAACCAGGATCTCTAGTGGCACAGTTAGCACTGCGATGCAGTGCCTTAGACCACTGCGACACTCAGGGCCATGTGATTGGGCCCTTATGAGTGTCACAAAGCTCAATGAGCTCAGGTTTAACGTCCCAGAATCTTGACACTGACACATCAGTGAGATTCTTCAAACAATGGATAAAGTTGACTCTAACATTATCACTATGACAGATGCTGAGTCTGAGCACCTCGATCCCCTGACAGTTTCTTATTGCAGACTCTGAGTAGTTCTCAGTTTTATGGTTACTTATATCAACTTGTCTGATTGATAGTTTGAATACAGTCTCACAAATGGATTCAAAAGAAATGTTCTTGTTGAACACAAAATGACGCAGTCTGCTGATACCAGACTTCAGAAGTCTGTAGCTCATCATTGTCAGGCAAAAAAAGAGATGAGATTTTTTCAAAGCATTTGAATGCTCTTTTTTCTAAACGGTGGGCATTAGGGAAGTTAAGAAACACCTCTTGAAGACGGTAGAAATAAGGAAGCTCAAGAACAGCTCCGTTGGTGTCAGAGCAGTTTGGGTGCCTCAAAATGACTATCCCATCTGAAGTAAAGTCCAGGGTCGTCAATGACTGTGACATATTGACTATCCTACATTGCAAATCAGAGAGTTCCTGTGTACAACTATCGACTGTGAATTTCTTCAGAAGAGGTATCCCTCCTAATGCGTCCAGTGCCTTCACAGAAAGCCTATAGTTCTCAATGGACAATTCCTCAAGATTAGTCAGGTCACTGAATGTGTTAGGTAGAAGTGAGGAATTGTAACACATAGATTACACATATCAGATAGAGTTTCTTCACATGGGAAAGCCCCTTGAAGGTTCCAGGGAGAATCGTGGACAGACAGCCACGTATGTGAATGGTCTCAAGGACGGAGAACTGAGAGAGAGCACCAGACTGCATCACAGACCCACTCCCGATCTGGAGACAGAGAGCCTGGTAGTTTGACGGAACAATGGAAAGGTTGAGTTTGAGATCGGATAAATCCCAGCAAACAGCAGTTAGGTTGCTGTGAGGGCAGGAACTGGCGTGAATAGCCAGTAATGGAATTTCTTGTCATAGAGGATGCATTTATTAACCAACCCCAGGAGCTGATGATCCAAACCACCAATAGTCCAAACTGAGCAGAGACCAGCCTCATCTTTCTTTTGAAGTAGACACTGGTCTGCTAGGATGATGTGAAGTAGGTCTGTAGTTTGTCCAAAGGAAATCACTTTCAGCATCCAGTTTCTTATCCAGTTGAGATTTTGTCATCCAGTGTAGGTTGATTAACAAATCTGTCTGGGATTGCAAATTCATAATCCCAATACTCCTCTATCTAATGGGATGAGGCGTCTGACCTGGAGTTCTTACACTGCTGTGTCTGCTAACTGAGTTGTATCTGTCTGCATCTCCTCTTGATATTTTTACTATATACGGCTTTTGCATTTCTGCAATCTCTTCCTGTTCTATTTGTTATGAACTCTTAGGTTACAGATAATATTATTCTTAACACCTCTTTCTCACTTCCTCGTAGCTTCTACATAAGAGGTAGTGGTTAGACCCCAGAAAAAATCAGCTTTTCATTTATCTGTATATCCAGCCCTTATATTTAGCCTCACAATTAAATGTTTTACCATTTTATTTTCAGGACATCCAGGGCTACAAGTAGAACACAAAACTAATTGACATAAACAGTTGCATTCATGAGTTTTATTGACAAATGTCAATAAAAAAAATAAGGTCATCCAAAGCAAAAACCTGATAAAAATGAATTTATATGAAGGCTGTAAGTACAGAAATTATTTGCTCAGTGGGAAATGAATATCCAACTAGTCAGTGACAACTGAGTGGAGTTTGTGACAGCAACTATGTAAGTTTATTACAGTATTATAGACACTATGTCCAGGGATTTCCTATGATCTTCTATGTAGAAGAACCCCTTACCTTATAATGACTGTTGTGTAGCTTGTGAGCATCATAGAGGAAAACATGTTACATGAGCGTGTTCGTGAGAGTCTCAGCTTTTCATAGATAGCTCAAACCATTCAAACGTTTTTGGAAAAAGACCCGGCCCGGACCCCTTGGGGGCCCTTGTCTCACAAACACCACTCTAGCTCAGCCCCTGTTAATCACACGAATCACATGAATGCAGAAGAATGGCTGGGGTGTTGCCTTGTCTGCCACTGTGTCAGACATGCCATGTATCTGTGGTCCATCACTGTGGTTTACTAACAGAGCACCTCCTACTCTACTCTCTGGGTGGAGGAAGAGATGCAGTATGTGCATGTGGACAGGTTTGTGTGTGTGTGTGTATTTGTAAGTGTGTGTGAGTGTGTGTCTGTGTCTGTGTGTGTATTTCTAAGTGTCTGTGTGTGTATATACAGTGTGTGTGAGTGTGCTTCCACACACTGACGAAGCAGCATGGCTCACCCCTCCTGGTCCCTCTCTTATACCCTGCCCTCTCCGTGGCTGCCCCGGGCTCTGCTGTCACTTCCCATCATGCCGTGCTCCAGTAGTGGGAGCGCTGCGTTGCTAAGGAAGCACTCTCTGGATGTACGCTTCAGTCTTTACTCTTCTCTTCATTCTATCCCTTAGTCTATCACTATACAGGTTTTAATGCCAGAACTGTAGTGTTGCCTGTTTTCCTCTGTAGAAATGTGTAATGCATTACACATTTCTACATAGGAAAACAGGCAACACTACAGTTCTGGCATTAAAACCTGCACTACAGTGCAGTAAAAAACAAACATTTGCTTCAAAGTGGATGGAACTGCACCGTCAGGGTCAAGGACATATTTCAGAAATGTATTTCATTACATAGATTATTGTTTGATGATTATTGCTAATGAATTTGCCAACTTGCCAGCTTTCTGCACTTGTGGGAAAAAAACATTGTGTAAGCATTTGCGTAAACCCCTGTGTAGTCAATATGATAAGAACACTGCAAAGCACAAAACCACATTGATTCCTTTACTTCTCACTTCCAGCTCAACAGCAAAACCCCAGCAGTTTTCAATCAATGCTGGTCAATTTGCCATCCATGCATCTGCCCATGTGCCGATCCATACCTCCATCCATCCCTTTATCCATACCTCCATCCATCCCTTTATCCATTCATCCATCCATTCCTTTATCCATACCTCCATCCATCCATTCAACCCTCTACACTATGTGATTCTGTATGTAGTAGTAGGGAACCTGTGCTCCTGTACTGTCGCCTGTCTCCTTGCCCCGGAAGTCAGAGTACTATAAAACATTAAAGCCTGGCTCAGACCATCCATATTTCATACAGCATTTAGCAAACAACAGATTAATAAAATATGCTGTAAAAATGGCCCCCTGAATCAGCATATCACCATGGCCTATTTCTCTGTTTTTTTTGAATGGGGTGTACGTTGGTTTTCGGTGTCACTGGGCCCGTGTTGTGTCTCTGTGTGTGTGTGTGTGTGTGTGTGTGAGAGAGAGAGAGAGAGAGAGAGAGAGAGAGAGAGAGAGAGAGAGAGAGAGAGAGAGGAGAGAGAGAGAGAGAGAGAGAGAGAGAGAGAGAGTGATATGCTCCCCTGCCAGCTATCTCCACTGTCGTGTAACGTTATTACTTCCATAAAGAGGTACAGTGGCTTGCGAAAGTATTCACCCTCCTTGGCATTTTTCCTATTTTGTTGCCTTACAACCTGGAATTAAAAGTATTTATTTTTGTAGAATTTTTTGAAACAAGTAATATTTTTCATTTCACTTCACCAATTTTGACTATTTTGTGTATGTCCATTACATGAAATCCAAATAAAAAATCCATTTAAATTACAGGTTGTAATGCAACAAAATAGGAAAAAAATGAAAAAATGAATACTTTTGCAAGGCACTGTAGTTACCTAATTTGTCCATCCATTAAAGACCGCCATAACAAAAGAGAGAAATGTAATTACCAGCACGAATAGCACTTCCTATTGTCCTATTGAGAGAGAGGGAAGGAGAATGGGAAAGACAGAAAGAGCGAGTGTGAGAGAGATAGAGACGGAGGGAGAGGATAAGTGAAAAGGAGGAAGAGAAGAGCAAGGGAAAGAGAGACGGGTGGAGAGAGAGAAACCGTCTCTACCTATGTGTGAACCTGCGTGATTGTGTGGGTGTGTGTGGTTTTCTGTGTGTGTGTGCGGGCACGCGTGTGTACAGGAAAGGTTATGACCCCATGGCTATGGGAGAGTAAGCTAGTGTAATCGTAGCAGTTCTCGGTCATAACAGTGGGTTATCATGATGATATACGCATGCAGTACTAGAATAACGTAAATAACTGTAATTATGGTAATATGTCCTCTGTTCTGAAGTAAAGAGAGACGGAAGCAGTGCTTGGTGCCATGTTCTTTAAGCAAAGTCATGTCACTCTGACAAAACAATGAAACATGCCAACGAGGCTAGTGGCAAAGACACACAGTTACTGTGTGTGTGTGTGTGTGTGTGTGTGTGTGTGTGTGTGTGTGTGTGTGTGTGTGTGTGTGTGCGTGCGTGCGTGCGTGCGTGCGTGCGTGCGTGCGTGCGTGCGTGCGTGCGTGCGTGCGTGCGTGCGTGCGAGGACGTGTTCTTATTAGTAAACATGCCAGTGGGAAAGACAAAAAAAGCACAGCACCAGTTGAGAGAGGAGGACTGACAGAAGACCTCTCTATGTCCTCCAGTAAGAGAGCAGGTGTGTGTGTGTATGTGTCTATGTGTGTATTCCAGTATATATTCCAGTATGTACAATGCATTCAGAAAGTATTCAGACCCCTTGACCTTTTCCACATTTTGTTACGTTACAGCCTTATTCTAAAATGGATACAATTGTTTTTCTCCTTCATCAATCTACACACAATACCCCATAATGACAAAGCAAAAACTGGTTTTTATAAATTTTTGCAAATGTATTAAAAATAAAAAACTGAAATATCACAATTACAGCCTTGAGTCTTATTGGGTATATTTATAACGCTACAAGCTTGGCACACCTGTATTTAGGGAGTTTCTGTCACGCCCTGACCTTAGAGATCACCTGTATTCTCTGTTTGGTTAGGTCAGGGTGTGATTTGGATAGAATCTAGTTTATTCTATTTCTATGTTGGCCGGGTGTGGTTCCCAATCAGAGGCAGCTGTCAATCGATGTCTCTGATTGGGGATCATACTTAGGCAGCCATTTTGCCTACCTTTAGTTGTGTGATCTTGTTTCTGTTTAGGTGTGTTGCTGTTAGCCTTTAGAACTTCACGTTCAGTTGCTTTTGTTATTTTGTCAAGTGTTTATTTAATAAGTTAAACATGTACACATACCACGCTGCACCTTGGTCCGATCCTTTACACGACGAACGTGACAGTTCTCCCATTCTTCTCTGCAGATCCTCTCAAGCTCTGTCAGGTTGGATGGGGAGCGTCGCTGCACAGCTATTTTCAGGTCTCTCCAGAGATGTTCAATCGGGTTCTAGTCTGGGCTCTGGCTGGGCCACTCAAGGACATTCAGAGACGTGTCCCAAAGCCACTCCTGCGTTGTCTTGGCTGTGTGCTTAGGGTCGTTGTCCTGTTGGAAGGTGAACTTTCGCCCCCAGTCTGAGGTCCTGAGCACTATGGAGCAGGTTTTCATCAAGGATCTCTCTGTACATTGCTCCATTCATCTTTGCCTCGATCCTGACTAGTCTCCCAGTCCCTGCCGCTGAAAAACATCCCCACAGCATGATGCTGCCACCACCATGCTTCACCGTAGGGATGGTGCCAGGTTACTTATGGTCTGAGAGTCTTTAGGTGCCTTTTGGGCTGTCATGTGTCTTTTACTGAGGAGTGGCTTCCATCTGGCCACTCTACCATAAAGGCCTGATTGGTGGAGTGCTGCAGAGATGGTTTTCCTTCTGGAAGGTCCTACCATCTCCACAGAGGAACTCTGGAGCACTGTCAGAGTGACCATTGGGTTCTTGGTCACCTCCCTGACCAAGGCCCTTCTCCTCCAATTGCTCAGTCTTGGTGGCCACTGTGTTCTTGGGGACCTTCAATGCTACATAACTTTTTTGGTACCCTTCCCCAGATCTGTGCCTTGACTCAATCATGTCTCGGAGCTCTACGGACAATTACTTCAACCACATGGCTTGGTATTTGCTCTGACATGCACTGTCAACTGTGGGACCTTATATAGACAGGTGTGTGCCTTTCCAA